CCTTCGTAGTAACAGACCAAAGCTTGCTCATCGCTCGTGTGAGGTCATCTTCCACCTCACTGACAGGCATGTTCCGCATGACGACCCACTGGATCCACTGGAACAGATGGCTAGACTCTTCCGAGACAAACCCGAACGCTTGGAGCGAGCTGCTAGAGTTGCTCTGAGAGGACGCGTAGACAGCCTCGTAGCCCTCGTGCTTGCCTGCCAGATGGGCCAGGAGATTGGAGTAGCTAGATCCTGGCACTTGCTTCCGTTCCTTGTTGCAGATCTTGCACCGGAAAACCCCTTGACCGAGATGCACGCAGAAGAAGGCGGAGAGTTGCTTGTTGGCGACCATGTTTGGCGAGCTGAGAAGATCTCGTAATGAACTGTTTTGATGAGGATTTAATTCCAAGGCAGTTAACAATGAAAGGCTCTCAACCAGTCGTTTAGGTGACGCAGGAGAGCTGAATCACTGATGTCATCCCTGTTGACGCTCAGCAGTGCAAAACGAGTTTTTTTTCGTATTTATTGTCAATTATTGGCTCGATAGTGTATTGTAGGCGGGTTTGGCTTTTGCAATAATACATTTTTTTTTACGAAAAACACAATTATTTAATGTATTGCACTATTTTTTTTCGACCCCTGCCGTGAACCCCGCTTGATGGTGATAGATGTGTCGTATTAAATGTCGTACTTTTTGTTTTCATATTATTTCAGAAATACTTCTTCTATTTTTTGTGTACATCAAACCTTGAAACTTACAATTTTCTTTTTTCTCAGAAGTACTCAGCTAGTGAAAAAAAGAAGCCCTGAGCCCGAACTTGGTCGTGGACGTCTACACCCTATGCTGTTGTGATCGTCATTCGTCGATATAGCGCTAGCATCTCAAGTCTATCGGGGCTGCATGTCTGCTGTCTATCTTCTAGCGACAATATCTGTCCGAAAATTCCGCTACTGACAGGCAATGTCTCCGTTTACTTGGGAAAAGGAACTTCAATCCAGCTTCGGAAATCCGTCTGCTACTATTAGGACAACGATAGTTCGTCCAACGATATGCTACCAGCGAGCGTTATCACCGTTGTGCTGGATGCTGCTGTCACCTCTTTAAGGGCCAGCGTCATCGCCGCTAGGCTGCAGGCTGCTGCTACCTCTTCTGATACCTCTTCAAGTGCCAGGGAGTGTCATTGCAGCTGTGCTGCTTCGCGCTTTGAGTGGTGCGCGATCTGCTTAAGGTTTTCCTTCTTGGGCAGGACCGGGAGGGTACGAACAACCAAACAACGCAATTCATCTGCGTGCTGAAGACTACTTTTCAAGAAATGGTACTTTACGGAGGGGGGAAATCCGCGCGGGGTGCCTGCTCATCGTAAGCGGACCCAGCACCGAGGTCCGCAACGAGCTGCGAATTGCACAGACCACGTTGTTCCAGGACACTTTCTGATAGTTAGGACCGTGGGCATGAAATCCGATATCGTAAAAGCTACCGAGAACGCTAAAATACAGAGAGAGAGAGAGAGATCGGACAAAAAGAAGACGTTTATGCCCCGTTTGCAGAACAGAACTGATGCTCGAAATTTGTCCGAAACAGTCCGCGCCTGAGATTCGTCGCGCACCATTACTGGCGATGCGCTGACAACTCAAGATATTACTTGTTGGGGGAGGATGTAATGGGCTCACTCTGTGCCCACTACTTCGGCTTACACGTTAGTGCACGTGTATGAGGCAGCGTAGTTTGCTTTAACTTTAATTAACTATGCTTACGTCTCGTAAGTATAGATTTATTTAAATAAGAAAGCAAAAGCCGATTTACCGTAAAATTGAGAACTGTTATTTAT